AACAACGAGAGGAGCAGGCAGAGCCAGATGGCACAGAAGGTCCTTAGCAACTGACCTTTTAATAAAGAAATCAGTTTTGGGAAGATAATTTTTTTTTGGACCGGACAAAAGCTATAACTTAATCAAGTGAAAACTAAGTAATGTTTCATTTAGTGCCCATGAAGATGTGAACCTGATTCTCTGATCCCTCGCCTATCTTACTGAATGGTACTCTGTCAGTTAGCTTTTTGATGGGCTAGTTTCATGTATTTTGCCATTTAGCATGCAGAGGGTTTTGAGAAGCTTTTTTGAAGAGGCAGCTTCCCTAGTTTTGTACATAGGCTCTAGAATTAACTCTGGCATGCACATACTTCTCTTATGGCAGTGCAGACCGTGGCCTATTTAAATACAACTTTCTTAGATCTTGAATAAGATGCCAAGCTGTAATTTTCATGTATTTTTAAAGTGAAAGTTATTGTTTCTGTTTATAAATTTATTTAAAATATTCAAGGAAAGTTTCTTACTGATAACTACTTTCAAAAATATACCAATATTGGCTTTCACAGCTTTTCTGTATGCAATATGCTTGCTGTGATACCAGATTCAAAGATTTGCTGTCAAGAATTTTGAACATTAGCATCATTTCTGAGACATGCACCCATTGATCAAATTCCAGTCTTTATCCAATGATTAAGTTTTTCTTTGTCTCTCTTGTCTTTCAGTTGCCGACAAGGCTGCCTACCTGATGGGTCTGAACTCAGCTGACTTGCTCAAAGCCCTGTGTTTTCCTCGAGTCAAAGTTGGGAATGAATTTGTGACCAAAGGTCAAACTGTGGAGCAGGTAAAATAATTGGTTGTACCTCAGAATTTCTCTTCATACAATTAAAATTCCTTTAAAATGTCTCTGTGTGGTAACTTATGCACATTTCCCCTTTGTTGTAGGTGCACAATGCTGTAGGTGCTCTAGCAAAGGCTGTCTATGAGAGGATGTTCTTGTGGATGGTTTTACGCATCAACCAACAGCTGGATACCAAGCAACCCAGACAGTACTTCATTGGTGTCTTGGACATTGCTGGCTTTGAGATCTTTGATGTAAGGAACATGGATTTCACAACAGCTTGATGGAAGAGACAATAGGTGTTAAGAAAATTCTAAGCCTTCTTTCATGAAGAGTCAGTTTTTTTGTAAAAAATACAATGATCAAGAGATCTCACTATTAGATTGGCCTTTTCAAGCGTTAGATCTTAATAGGAAAGAAACTAATAACACAGCATGCAAGAATATTAAGCTTAGGTAAAAAAAAAGAAGAAAGGAAGAAATGAATGTGAGACAAAGTTATATGGGCCAAAGGCATGGAAAATATTGAAAGAGATTAGAAATGTTTATGCAGTTGGTGGAAATTATTGAAACAGATTAGGAAATGCTCATGTTGATTGTGAGAGAACCCTAAAAGCTTCCATAACAGCACACGGAAATATCTAAAGCCACTCTCTTAAGAACAGAAAAATATTTTAGTAAATTGAGGCAGTCTTCATGATCGGGGTATTGGGAGAGGCAGAGTCTAGTAATAAATTTGTTCTGATAGAAGAAAATGTGCTGAAGTTATTTACTAAATTTGCTTTGGATCTAAGGGATTCCAAAGGGATGAGGGCTACTTATCATAATTAAAGTATCCATATTATATGGAATGATAACAAACAAACAAACAAAATCTCTACGTTACAATGAATTAGAAGTCTTTTCTCTCTTCAGAATGCACGTACAGTCCCACTGAAGGATTTCTGGGAGAACAGATAAGGAAGGGGCCTGGTATTTGAAGAGATACAGAAAGAATCAGAACTACACAGGGAAAAGCATTGTGGTGATGGCTGAACCTTGAAAATATTGATCTTGCTTTACATTTGGCAGTTCAATAGTTTTGAGCAGCTGTGCATCAACTTCACCAATGAGAAACTGCAACAGTTCTTCAACCACCACATGTTTGTGCTGGAGCAGGAGGAGTACAAGAAAGAAGGAATTGAATGGACATTCATTGACTTTGGGATGGACCTGGCTGCTTGCATTGAGCTGATTGAGAAGGTATCCTTCCTGTTCAGGTGCATTAATGTTAGAATTCTCTAATTTTTGAGGGATACATAAAGTTTGTTTATGTCTGGATTAGAATGATAGATTTCAGTTATTAAAGTGCTCTGTATTTCTGTATTTTATAATGTTGCTAGCAATGTTTAAAAGTGAAAAGTAGAAGTGAAACAGCAAGGATGAAAAATGATGAACCTCAGTTAATTTTCTGTGACATACTGTCCAGAAAAGAACAGAAGCAACCATATCTTCTGATTTGTTTCTCAGCTTTCTGGCCTAACACTAGCCTCTTCCAGCTAAGGAACCTGCTTCTCCCTCTTGTCTGTTGTAATGTCTTCCAGCCCATGGGTATCTTCTCCATCCTGGAAGAGGAGTGCATGTTCCCCAAGGCAACTGACACCTCTTTCAAGAACAAGCTCTATGACCAGCATCTGGGCAAGTCTAGTAACTTCCAGAAACCCAAGCCCACCAAAGGCAAGGCTGAGGCCCACTTCTCCTTGATACACTATGCTGGCACAGTAGACTACAACATCACTGGCTGGCTTGAGAAGAACAAGGATCCCTTGAATGAAACTGTCATTGGGTTGTACCAGAAATCGTCTGTGAAGACACTGGCTTTACTCTTTGCCAACTATGGTGGAGCAGATGCAGGTCAGCTCTGTGGAAACTGTATTTTCAGTGTGGGAAAATAATGACAGGAAATCAAACAGGAAAGCCTAAATGTTTAAAAATTGTTTTCTGTAGTTCAATGTTCAACATCAGTATTTTAATATTGTTTTTCCCCTTCTTTTATTTACAGAGGGTGGTGGCAAAAAGGGTGGCAAGAAGAAGGGCTCTTCTTTCCAGACTGTCTCAGCTCTTTTCCGGGTATGTACAGGTTTCCTCACTTTGTCTCTTTTTACCTGAAGAAAGGGAATTTAAAACGTGAAAAGTGATGTTATAATTCTTGAAGTCCTGTAGCAAAAGGGCGAAAAAGATTATGTACTATAGGCAATTTTTCTTTCTGTTTAAATGATGAACTAGTTTCTTCTATTTTTCAACATGAATATTCTCTCATTAATACATGAAAATGAAAACTCTTTCAAATGGTTGAGGATGTTGTCATTGAGATTTTTTTTCTCATACGTCTATTTTTTAAGCTAAATATGATATTGAAATAGTCAATTTCTTTCACCTATTGCACAGAATGTTTTACCAAATAGAGATTTTTGTCTTCTGAGTATTTTCTATATTGCTACCACACATGATTCATAAGTAACGGAGCAGTTCTGAAAAACAGAGAGGCTGGCTTTAAGATTATCACATATAAAAGCCTAACCAGTATATTGATTCAGGAGGACAATCATAGGGAATTATTCATGACTTTCAAAGCCACAAGTCTCAGCCTATCAAATGAGTTATATTCCAGTTTTTTGTAAATGATGACACAGTAACCAAATTATATTTCCTTTTAATAGTAATGTTCAACAGCAAAAGATTGATGAAGGCATAAGCTTTTGTACATTACTATGGACATTTTGCAGTCTAGATTAAATCTGACAAATTGTTAAGTCATATCCATGAATGAAATACATGCAGCTCCAGGGATTCAGATCTTTCGTCTGTTGATCTAAACTTCACCTTGTAATCTCACAGGAGAATTTAAACAAGCTGATGACAAATCTACGCAGCACTCACCCCCATTTTGTACGATGCATCATCCCAAATGAAACAAAAACACCTGGTAAGGGGATTCAATAGCAGGAAAGCTCAAGCCACAGAAGCTCTTCTCCTGAGTATCAAACAATGGGGTAGTCACTAATGGTGGTGTTTGTTAGGTGCCATGGAGCATGAGCTGGTGCTGCACCAGCTGCGATGCAATGGTGTGCTGGAAGGGATCAGAATTTGCAGGAAAGGATTCCCCAGCAGAGTCCTCTATGCTGACTTCAAACAAAGGTAGGAGTGATCCACATTTCTCCTCATTCTTTTGCTGTTCCACACCTTCTATGTCTTAAATTACTTAAGTATCATATTTACTACGCAGTTTATACACTCTGTAATTAAATCACATTACAGGAGTCTATTACTGGAAAAAGAGGAGGTAACATAAAAGTTTCCTCCACACATCTACTTCACATTTGACCAAAAATATATGTTTCCAGCAATGTCCTAAAAATGCTTCTGAACTGTCTTTAGGGACATCTGTCCCTATCAAAGCTGTAGTCAGCTGTTGGTGAAAATGACCAGCTGAGATCTGTTACTGAGAACACATTGAGTATCCTAACACAACTCTCCTGACAAGGAACTGAGCAGTAATATAAAAACGTTTCACTACCTGTTCATGATGATATGACATGGCTGATGATCCAGATTCTTTTAGACTCTGATTTAACAGTATGAAATCTTCACTTAAACTGTGTTGAAAGAATGGACTGTCCCTAATACCTGACGTTA